TGTAAGCCAATATACAACTCAGTAATATTATCTAATTTTAAATAAAGACAGGTTAAAGTTAATTGCCACATTAGATCAAACAAATTATTACTAATAATATAATTCAGAACTAAAAAAGTTATATAATATTATCACCTTTTTCAAAACTTAATGAATGTACAGAACCTGACCCAAAATCTGATGCCATACTAGATCTACTTTCTGCTAGTTCTAAATTTGAATTTACACTACCATTACTTTTTACTAAACCTTTACTATTTTCTCTTACTTCCAAACCTAAACCACTTTTATCTTTTGTCAACCCTACATATAATTTATTATTAGACTATCAAGTTTGTAACTAATATCGAGTTAAATAAATACTAATCTAATTCAAGCCCCAAGACAGGCCCAGAATTATTCTCACTTACTTCCAAATCCATACCACCTTCCAATTCTACAAAAAAAAAATATAGTATTAGATCACTAAGTTTATGACTAACAACAGAATGAATATAATACTAACCTAATTTCAGACTAAAAGTAGATCTAGTATTAACTTCACTTACTTTCAAACCTATACAACTATTATCTTTTACTATTCCTGTAAGTTATATATTATATTAGATAACGAAGTTTATTAATAATAATAAAGTGAACCGAAAATTTACCTAATTCTAAACTTAAAGATTCACAAATATCTTCACTTACTTCCAAACTTGAACCTATACAATTATTACTTTCTACTAACCTAGCAATTTATTCCGTTAGATCAAGATTTAATAGCTAATAACAGAATAAAAATAATGTTTATATATCTAAATACCAACTAAAAGCTGGCCCAACCTTATCTTTATACTTTTCGAAATTTATAATAAATTGTTTGTAAGCCTATGAAGCTTATACTAACACAAAGTTGAGTAAATACTTACCCAAACCCAAACTAAAAATGGTTCTAGTGTTGTTTTCACACTCTTCAAAGTCTGCAATAAATTGGTTATTAAGTCCACAAACTTATACTAAAACAAAGTTGAATGTAATGCTAACCTTCGGTGCTCTTTTCTGCTTAATAAAACAAAGCCAATAAGTGTATATATATACGTATGTACTGTACTTATTTAATACAAAGTTGAGTAAATGCTTACTCAAACCCAAACTAAAAGTGGTTCTAGCATTGGCTTTACACTTTTCAAAGTTTGCAATAAATTGGTTATTAAGTCTACAAACTTATACTAATACAAAGTTGAATGTAATGCTAACCTTTGGTACTAATAAAACAAAGCCAATAAGTGTACGTGCATATATATGTACTGTACTTATTAATTAAAAAAAAAAAAAACCGAACCAGACATATAGTTATATAAAAGATCTATTTTCGTATTATGTACAACTAAAAAGAGTAAAGATTAGATATCGGTATTATTATACATTATTCTTATGCGTAGTGTATATCACGTGATTTATATAGATGCAACAACATCGCACGTGCAATATATAAATTTATTCTATTTTTATACATATTAAATTTTTTTATTTATTACATATTTATTATATATTTATTACATACACACTCTATACTATTTTTGTTTTTTAAAAAGACAAAGTAGTTCATTTAATACCAATTATTCAATAGTTCCGAATCACTATTCTCGGCACCATTTTCTGTACCCAAGTCTAGCAAAATACAAATCTACAAGAGAGAAAATGATTAGAATAAAAAAATAATGCAAGAAAAAAAAAACAAAGCAACCAGAACTGGTACTTATCTAGTTCACGTTCTGAATCACTATTCCCGGTGCTATTTTCTGTTCTCAAGCTAAGCGAAATACAAATCTACAAGAGAGAAAATAGTTAGAATAAAAAAATAATACAAGAAAAAAAAAAACAAAGCAACCAAAACTAGTACTTATCTAGTTTACGTTTCGAATCACTATTCTGAATTATATTCTTGGCACCATTTTTTGTTTCCAAGCCAAGCGGAATATGAACTTACAAGAGAAAAAATGGTTAGAATGAAAAAATAATACAAGAAAAAAAAACAAAACAACCAGAACTAGTACTTATCTAGTTTATATTTTGAATCACTATTTTTAGTGCTATTTTCTGTTCCAAGCCAAGTGGAATACAAATCTGCAAAAGAAAAAACATTAGTAGAACGAAAAGAAAAAAGACAAAGCAAAAAAACTGACACTTATCTTTTTATGTCAGTTCACGTTCTGAATCACTATTCTGAATTACATTTCTGATACCATTTTCTGTACTCAAGCCAAGCAAAATACGAACCTACAAGAGAAAAAAAACTGTTAGTAAAATGAAAAAATAACAAAAAAAAAAAGTCAAAGCAACTAGAACTGATACTTGCTTTTTATGTCAGTTTATATTCTGAATCACATTCCCAGCGCCATTTCTGCAAGAGAGAAAATAGTAGTAGTTCATATTCTGAATCACCATTCTGAATCACATTCTCGGTGCCATTTTCTGTACTCAAGCCAAGCAGAATATAAACCTACAAGAGAGAAAACATTAGTAGAACAAAAAATAATACAAGAAAAAAAAAGCCAAAGCAACTAGAACTAACACTTGTCTTTTTATATTAGTTCACATTCTGAATCATATTTCTGGTGCCATTTCTATAAAAGAGAAAACAGTAGTAGTTCATGTTCTGAATTACTATTCTGAATTATATTCCTGGTACCATTTTTTGTATTCAAGCCAAGCAGAATACGAACCTACAAGAAAGAAAACATTAGTAGAACAAAAAATAATACAAAAAAAAAAAAGTCAAAGCAACTAGAACTGACATTTGCCTTTTTATATCAGTTCACATTCTGAATCACCATTCTGATCACATTCCTGGTACTATTTTCTGTACCCAAGCCTAGTGGTCCTGATTTTGTTCTTCATTAACTTGCTGTCTGGTGAAACTAATCAATATTTCAACAAAACCATACCTATAAAGAAAAGAGCAGTTAGTATTAGTTCAAGAAAAAAACAAGGAAAAGCAAATAATAAAAGAATTGTTACAGTACCGTGGTCTTCTTAACAGCAGTACTATAACAATGACACGGCTACAGGGATCCTTTACAGGTTTATAGCGGTGTCCAACAGTAAGTATAATTTCTACTACAACTAGAAACTATACCCTTCTGTCTGTGGCAGTTCGGGCAGATAATAGTTTATAG